AGCATCAGTAGCGAGAAGGAAAGCGACGAAAGTAAATGTCCAGTTATCGGAATAAAACATCAAAATTACCAAAAAACGCTGATTTGAGAAGATCATTTCCAAAAGTACCGTAATCTAAAGATTTTAATCGATCTCATCTCCTTATGCAAATATTTCTTCACAAAAAGCTGTGTCTGAGCAACTGATTTCTTCAAAATGCGGAAGCTTCCATGTCCTCCTAGCGGAAACTTGATTGTCTTCATTTCTGACGACGAAATTCTGCCAGTTGTTTCGAGTTGATAAGAAATGCAATTTGCATCTTGTGGAAATTTTTGAAGACTCGGATATGCAAATTTGAGGGCTCAAATAAAAGCGTTGATTGGTAGGAAATTTTCATTTACAGTTTACAGATTCTTATTGGCAGGTCAGTTCGTCAGTGTCTCCGCTATTTCAAATATTCAATTTGGGAAATAAGCTGAAATCGCTTGAAGCAGCAGTTTTCCAGACGGAAGCTTGGGTGAGCTGTGGGTCTGTCTTGTGCGCCTCGATTCTGTTGTTCTGATTTTTCCAGCTTACACTTTTACTGCCAGCTCCGCGTGCCAAGGAGTAGTGATTGGTACTTACGGGACCACCATTGCGCACATGAGTTTATGCATCCAAATAACGGTTAATTAGGATTGTCACGAAAACTGTCCAAGATGTTTTGGAAATCCTAGCAACCTGCATTTTCAAAGCCACTGAACTTGAACTTATAAAATTTCAGCTGTATGCAAACATTTCAGCCTAGCGAATATCAATTTTTTTTCATTTTTTGAAATTTTTTGATCTTTTCAGCTTTTTTGATCTTTCTTCTTAATTTCCAAATTCATCCAGTTCTTTCGGCTTTTTCGATTTCTTTTTTAATTTGCAAATTTTTTTTATTCTTCGACTTTTCTCAATTTCTTTTTTAATAGCCAAATTCTTTTTAAATTTCGTCCTATTCTTTTCAAATTTTTCACTTTTTTTGAAACTTTCAACGAACCCTTGGATGGTCCAACAATAAAATTAAAAAGAGTCAAGTTTGCTACACAGTTTTTAAACGTGACTTCAATTTTCGCGATATGCTTAATGAATCGATTTTGTTGATTAACAATATTTCAAGGAATCATCAAGCTAAATGGCAACGGCCGATAAAGGAGAGGTTTGTTTCGCGAAAAGATTGATTTTAAATTAAAATTCACTTGAAGGGTTTAAAGTATCGATAGATTGAAAGAAGTAAGGAGCATTAAAATTTACTGCGACACTTTGATTAGCCGCTATTTGTGGCATGATTCTCCCTCTACACAGCTCGCAACTTTCCCGTTGTTTTGATTGTAAAATATACTGTTCTTAATATAAAATTATATAATATTTTTTTCTTTGTTCTGTTCCCCCTTTTACCCTATGAATCATAATTCAATTTGCATTCTTTCGTGTTTACGATTTTCTACATTTTCGTCCTTCCTCTTTTTTTTACATCCTTAAAAACCTACATTCGTCCCCTTTGTCCCATTTTGCTCCTATTTTGGAATGCGTTTGCATTCCCAGCCATTTTACTTTCTTATTTTTCTTTTCATTCCTTTTTTTAATCCCCTTAAAAACCCTCATTTCCATTTTTCCTATTCACATTTCACTTCACCTTAATTATCATTTCCACATTTTCAACCCCTCCAAAAAACTATCACATCCTCTTTTGGGGCGGTTCCTACACCCTTTACAAACCTTCCCACCATTCTTCGTGGCTCTCAGTCTTCTCCTTTTTCACCGAGACCACGGCACCAAGTCTTCTCGACGGACTCTTCAACGACTCAGCCTCGTCTGGCATACTGCTGGCCCTCATCAACCATGCTCTGTACAACGACTCTTGCTCGGCAAGCTCACAGATTCGATAGATTATAAGCGCCACATTTCGTGCTGTTTATTTGCTGTTTGCACGATTCTTCATCAGTAAGTCATAAACTTGATTTTGCTTCTCTACAGTGTGCGTACGCTAGGAGCACCACGCCACTCAGCGATCCGCACACATAACCCCATCACATAAAAATTTTTACTCGATTAATGCTGCATCGCCTGGTGGTTGGCTTGCTGACGATCCTAACAATTGTTTTTAGTCTTCGCCAACTCGACAGAAGTACCTAATAAGGCCTTAGCCATCCTAGATCTTACTTTGCATGCTGACTTCGCATCGAAAATGTTAACTTTTAGACTATCATTAGACAATAATGATACCTCATTTTCCTTATTTCGAGCCTCACTTTCGAGATTCGATCAGTGAAGTATTTTACAGAAAATTATATAAGGACATCAGATTTTTAAACAAATTAAAGTAAAAAACCTAGTTGGTTTCAGCATAAAAAAGACAAGAGTGGATCCGGCAGCGCAAAAATAGCGA